GCTTCTTAATCTTATTTTTTTTACCATTTAAGATTTATTCTTTAACTGTAAAAAGTATTTTTATGTAAATTAATAAATCATAATTATTTCATTAAATTTCCATACTGCTTGAAAATGCTGTATAGTTGTAGATAACAAAAAAGAAAATCATTGGTACTGTAATATTTTTTTAAAACTCACTTCCTTGAGGTATATATGATCACTTATGTACTGTTAATCATGAGCCCTCCTCAGATGGGGCAGATTATATTGTTAAAGACCATTCTTTTCCTTACTAGCCAGTTGCAGAAGCTGCCTTCCACCTGCTATACATACAGCCAGCTGCAATGACTATGTATGTGAACGAGACAGCCACAGTTTCTCAACACCCTGCTCAGTAAGTACTTGAAGCGAGTGCTGCAGAATACAAACCTCATAGCTGCCCTTTGCACCGAAATCCCAAGTCTTTCTGTAGAGGCAACTACATGGCCTTCTGTTTCACTAGCTGAGCCTAGAGCCGTGCTCGGCCTTGCCAAGGGCACCTCAGTCCATATGCTTGCTGTATTTCAGTTCTGATCAGTAGCCCTCTTCTTTCTTCTTCCTCATCTTCCTCAGACCGTCTTTAAGGTTTAGTCCACTTCTTCTCCATCTTCCTCAGACCTTTTCTAAGGCTGAATTGGCCATTCAGCTCAAGACTCCTCTTTTATCATGCTGTTCAACAGCAGAACAGAAGAATGTTCTAGTTACTTACGTACAAGTTACTTTTATTTTCGTGGAGGGATCTTCTACAAACAAAACCAAGTATGGGGTTCATTTGCTTCACCCCCAGATCAGATGTTGTCTGTGTTCCACCTGTATACTCCATTCTTTCCAGCACTTGGTTTCAAACTTGTCTTCTTGTTTGAAAGAGATCATCCTGGCAAGGGTCATAGTGCTGCTGTGTGAATCCACTGGTGATCCTTCTGTGTCACCCTCTGCAGTCTGAGCTCCCTGTCTCTGATGCCTTCGAGCTCCTCCTGGGGAGCAATAGATGCAGGGCTGCTCCTTGACACACGTCCTAGTGCTGCCTTGACCATCAGGGCAGATTCTTACACCAGTCTGGAACATTGGCTCCAAAAGCTGCTTTTTTAATCTTGATGAAACAAACAAATGAAAAGAATCTGTACATATTTCTAGTTTTCTACCTTCTGATGCTTTTCTTTCTTTTGAGACCGGTCGAAGGCTTTTTATAGAGATATTTTGGTACTAAACCTGTGCAGACGTTGAACGAGTTTGGTCTGCAGACTGAAGTGCCAATTCAGGGCTATTAGTAATGACTCTTGAACATTATTGTTATATTTCATAGCTCATTAATTTTGGGTTTACATTTACAAACCTGAGCCATGAATCTCCCAACTTCCTCTTCTGGCAGTCCAGCCTTGTTCTTTGTTGTCTTTTTTCTATACCAGACTTCCTTGCAACCTTTAGCTTGGATGGCAAACCAGTGTCTGACTCTTTCTATGAACTTTTGTAAGCAGTAACTTAGTTTTTCTACATGAAGGAGATAGTTCATTCCCGGTTCTTTGTCAGCACCTTGTCAGCTTGCTTTTAATCCTGTTGACAGTTTTCCAATGCCTGATTTATTGCAGAGTAAGAACCACAGTCCCTATGTAACCATCGCTTTTCTGTGATGGAAACAGGGAGTTCTTGTGTAAGCCAGAATTGTACCTCTGACACTACATGGAATATTTGTGCACTGAATTATATCGATGACAACTGTGGAGAATTAGCAAGAGATGAGTATTTGCCAGTTCTTGGTGGTATCAGCAAGTTTGCAGGCCCTATTATATGTATTTCTGTCCTAGCTGTAAATTCTAGGTCATGTCAACATCCACACAATTTCAAATGCAATAGATAATTTCCTTTTTAACTTGAAATCTGTGGGATATTTTCTGAGAGATCTTATTGTATTGAAACTTTTAAGTATGGCAAATAGAGAAATGAACAAGGAGATCACCTCTGTCTCAATGGGAGTGCTAAAAATTCCCTACAAAAGCACTTTTCAACTCTTCCCTCCAAGGAGGAAAATACTCAGGCAGTTTCTTGGGAGCCCGAACTTGTTAGCAGTAAAATTGGATCAGATTGTAGCTACACGCATGGTCCATGCACAGTCCAGTCAGCAGAGACTAGGGATACAATCCAGGCACCTTGAGTGAGGTGGATGTAACACACCAGGACCTGTTTTGTCTCTGTTGGATTCTTTAAAGATGCTTGAATGCTGTTGTGTCTGTAGGAGATGGCTCCAGCCTGCTTCTGCAGTACCAGCATTTGGTACAGCAGGGAGCACGCTGGGGTGTCAGAGCTGCTGCAGCTCGCTGACATCCAGGTGGAGAAGGTGGGATCTGACTGCATTAGAGGGTCCCTCCTCCTCATGGCCCCTTACCTGACACAACAGGATCATTCCACGCTGCTGATAGTGAGGTGGGTGTGTTTGTGACTGACTGCAAAGTGTTCTGGTGTCTGGAGGGAAGTCAAGTTTCTAAGGGCTTCTGTGATAAGGAGCTGCTTTTTAGGGATTTACTATAGATGCTATTGTCTGTGGTGAATAAGAATGGTCTGGTCGAAAAGGGAGGTAGGGAGGGACAGATGGAGAAATCATGGTTTGAAGATTCAAGGTCAAATGGTTTTATTTCTATGAGAAAGTTTATTTTGGGTTGGTTTTTTTTTTCCTCTTTAAAAAGTTATGTTTTACATTTCAAAATGAGTGGATTCTTTTACATATATGAAAGTAGGATTTTACTTTCTCCTTCCTGTGTTTATCCTTGTTGTTGTTATTTTTCAGTTGAGATAAATGCAAGATACCTTGTCCTGATTACGTGAGGTTTTACTTGGTGATAAATCTACTGATCCTTTATAGGAGACTGTGAATACTGTAAATATCTCGAGATGGAAGGGTTGTGTGGGATCAAAGAAGACATTCTTTGTGCAAACACTAAAAGGATACGGGAAAGCTGTAGGTTGGGTTGGTTTTGGTTGGTTTTAGCATATAATTTAAGAGAAGAATCTCTGAAATCATTTGACCTTTCCAAAATTTTATGTGTATCTGACTTCTCCTGTGACTTGATTATTTGAAGCTCTATGTCTGTATTAAAGAGTTAGAAAACTTTGATTAGGTGAAAGAGTTTTCCATTGGAAATAGCAACATGTCAAAGTTTTGCTGTCACTACTTTAATTTGAAATCCAAGTCTGTCCTCATCTGCCATGTTGAACTTCTGTGTATTCAGATGTTTTCATTTCTCCTTTTCAGTGTTACCTGTAAGGTGTTAGTTTATTTTGGATCAGTATTATATTGTAAATATTACGCATCGGTGTATATAAATGATTTTACTAAACTTAAAAGTTAACTGGCTGCTTTTTTTATGGTTCCCAAGTCCCTTGGTACAGAAGGGGGGAAGGAGAGATGTGGCTTGGGAGGGAACAGCACCTTCTAGTTCCCCATCCTACCTGCCTTACAAATGTGAATAAGCATTTTCCTTTGTATTTTGCAGGAGTTGCCGTGGGGCTTTGAGGTGAAAGAATGACTGACAGGATGAGCTAGATAAAGGGCTCTCTGCCTGGCAACATAACCTGAAATTGCCTCTTTTCCACACTGTTTTCCATTAGATGGCAGCAGTACATGCCCAGTGCTAGCAGTGAACCCCGTAAGGTCTGTAGGATTTGTCTTGTAGTGATGACTTTGGGCAGTCAGGGAAGGGAGGGATGATTTGTTCTGTGTTCCATGACATTTCACCTGTCAGGTATAACAGCTCCTCCATCCTGCCAAGTGTGTTCTTTGGGGCAGGAGCCAGGAACCTGTTTCTTCAGGATGACCATCATTGCAGGGCACTGGGCTTCACCTGAAGGCAACAGAAGCAGGAGCCCTGCAGGGATTTGGGGCAGGAGCAGCAGCTTGGGAGTCACCAGGAGGTGAGAAATGGGTTGGCCTTTGCTCAGGCTGGCAGTGCACTTGGCTGGAGAGTGCTGGGGTTCTCCTCATTTCTTAGGCAGTCAGACTTGTGCCACCAAGCACGGCACTATATGCTTGCTGGCTCTGGAAATACTTTTCTTATCCTTAAGCATGGTTTGACTTGTTGGCAGCAGCCAGACAGTGCCTTGTCCCATGAGCATTTTGAAACAAAAGTGGCAGAGAGAAGAGGCAGTGGGACAGCTGTGAGTGCCCGTGTGCCCCTTCCTTGTAGGAGTTAAAATCCATCTGCTTGGTATCTTTGAGGAGTTAGTAGCGCATTAGAGAGTCAGTGACCCTCAGAGCATCCATAGGATTGGGAAGGGGAGTCAGAGCAATTTCCAAGCATCCTGGGAATATTTAAGGCAGCCAGACCAGCTGCAAGGGCTCTGTAGGAGTGGCACAAGAAAGACTCCCTCACCCCCAAAGAACGCTTCTCCCTTTCCAGCAACAAACCTTCCTTCACTAATTAAAACATTCAGTGATGTGTTCAGCTGAGTGAGGAGCAAGGGTATCTTGTCAACAGACACTGAAGGCTCTCGCTGCTGCAGCTGAAGGTCCCATTAGCAACCAGATCATTGTTTCCCTGGTAATCTCCCATCACTTTCCACTTAATCCCCTTTTAGACAAATTGCTGTAGCAGCACTGGCTTGTCTGGCTCTCAGCAAACGGGGTCAGCACAAGTAGAGTACAGCAGTGATGAGGCAGGGCATATTTAATGTCCTGTTGTTCCTGCCTGTACCAGGGCATAGGTCCCACCCTCCTCATGGAATGTTTGTGTTTGAAGCGGGGCTGGGGAAACGGTTGCCCCCCTGGCCCTTCCACTCCGGCCCCAAGGGCAGCTCTCTGGGGCTTCCCACCCTGTGCCAGGTCTTTCCCTGTGCTGATTTGCTCTGTTGCAGTTGGGTGGTGTTGGATGGCAGGCTGGTTGCCTCCTGGTGTGTCCTACCTCTCTGGTGGACAGGTAGCTGAGGAAGAGCTAAGAAAAGACACATTGGATGAAGGGCTTGAACCTGGCTGCAGGCTGAGTGGGGAGGACAGGTGGTGAGAAGGGATCTTGGTTGCTGAGTTAAAAGTAGCTTTTTTGATGTCTCATCATCCATATTTTCTACCCTTTCCTCCAGCCAGGGAGGGAGTGACCATGGCGCCAAGCTGGACACAGCCAAGTTGCACCCCAATGGGCAGAGGGGTTCTCCTCCTCGGCCTGGGCCTCTCCTTCCTGCTGCAGGGGCTCCTGCTGCCCTGCACAGACTGCAACCCCCAGACCACTTGGGACTACGCAGTCTATGAGATAGTCATTCCAAGGAAACTTGCTCCCAGTGCAGGGAAGAGCAGCAAGGAGGAAGTGTCCTATGGCATCAGCATTCAAGGGGTCAGTTACACACTTCGCCTCAGGCAGAAAGACTTGATAATAAAAGCCTTCCCTGTATTTGCTCGTGACTCCCATGGGAAAATGGAGGCCAAGCAGCCCCAAGTGCCAGTGCACTGCTATTACGATGGCTACGTGGAAGGCATCCTGAACTCCGGGGTGACTCTGACTGTCTGCTCTGGGCTCAGAGGACTGCTGCAGTTTGGAAACTCAAGCTACAGCATCGAGCCCTTGCCAGGTGCCACTGAGGGTCAGCATCTTCTGTTGCGGAGAGACGCGGCGGTTCCCGGAGCCATGTACGTGTACGATATGCCCATTGAACGTCAATGGTTTCCTCGGCCTAGTAAGGAGGCAGAAGGGCAGTTCCAGCTCCGGGGACACACACGGTATGTGGAGCTCTTTGTCGTGGTGGACAAGGAAGGTTTTGATGCCTTTGGCAGAAGTATCACTAATGTGACTTTGGAAGTTATTGAAATACTCAATCTGGTGGATGGGATGTTTAAATCTTTCCACCTTCGTGTTATGGTAACTGCACTAGAGATTTGGGTGGAGAAGAACCCTATCAGTATTACCAAAAGCATAAACAGGGTCCTTTATGACTTTAATCATTGGAGGAAGCAAAGCCTGAAGTACGCCATGCATGACATGGGGTGTCTGTTTGCCTCGATGGACTTTGGTCACGGTACAGGTGGATTGCACGTGAGTGGCAAATCCAACCTGGGCAGTGCTTGTGATAACACCCGGGCCTCTGCTGTTGTGTCATTTGCCAGACAGCCTTACGTGGAGACTGCTGTCAGCGTCGCTCATGCGTTAGGCTATGCCCTTGGCATGGAGCATGACCACAGCTACTGCACGTGTGGAAACAGCTCTAGGTGCATCATGAGCGTGAACAGCACGGTGAACTATCAATTCAGCAACTGCAGCAAAAGGCACTATTATGATTTTATATCATCAGGGCGAGGATTCTGCCTTAATAACGTCCCAGAATCGGTAATGACATCTGCGCTGAGGCGCTGCAAGAATCGTGTCCTGAGGCCTGGGGATATGTGTAAATCAGACCCTTGTTGTGACATTGCCTGTCAGAGAAAGGGAGCCCTTTGCACTTCTGGACGCTGCTGTAGGAATTGCAAACCTCTTCCAGAGGGAGAAGTGTGCAGGGAAAGTGCTGGACCCTGTGACTTGCCTGAGTATTGCAACGGGACATCTGAGCATTGCCCAGCAGATGTGGCCAAGCAAGACGGGACTGTGTGTGCTGAGGATGGGTACTGCTACTCAGGCACATGCCAGTCTCCCACATTACAGTGTGTGAGTATCTTTGGGAAGGGAGCAAAGCCTGCTCCGCTGTCGTGCTTCCAGGAGGTGAACATGAAAGGGGATCGGTTTGGCAATTGCTTCGGGGATGGGGCAGATGTCAGCTTTCAGAAATGTAAGCTAGAGAATGTCCTGTGTGGAAGGATGCAGTGTGTGAACGTGAGACGTCTGCCTCGGCTGGAAGACCACACAACCATCATCCAGACCCCAGTGGGTGATAGCTGGTGCTGGGGCACAGATTACCACTTGGGTGTGGACATTCTGGATCCTGGCCTTGTTAAGGATGGCATGCAGTGTGGGGAGAAGAAGATCTGCATTAACCGGACGTGTGTGCCTGCGGGGAGGTACTTGACATCCCGCTGTTCTGCCAAGAAAACCTGCAGAGGAAAAGGTGTCTGCAACACCAACGGGAACTGCCACTGTGACAGTGGCTGGGCACCTCCCTACTGCCAGTACGTTGGATTTGGAGGAAGCATTGACAGTGGGCCTGCACCCGTCACTAAACACGGGCTTTGGAGGTTGCTCGTTGGGATTACTGGGATAATTGTTGCTGTTTTGGTGCTTGCAGCAATTGGCATTGTGCAAGCAAGAAAGTTTGGAGTGACCCAAGCATTACACACGTATGTTGGATCCTTTTGGGTTAAAAAATGCGCTTCTGAGGGCAATGTAAGTGACCAGGTGGAAGAAGATGACTCAAAACCAGCTGAGAGTACTGTGTAGGACTTTACATGGCAGCAGTGGAAAGCTGGACTCAGCCACCAGATTCAGACTCCAGTTGAAGTGGACTCATTTAAAATTGATTCAGATGCAAGTGCAGTTATAGGGGACCTGGCTTTTATTCTGTACCATATCAAAATGAAATTGTTTTGCTCGACCTCACTCTGTAGGAGAAGTCATTGACAAAAATGACAGGGGAGCTCAGATTAAAAGTCTGCCTGCTGGTTTACACTGATAAGACACAGGCTGGGCAAGATAAGCCTGGGGATGGCTGAAGCAGAGCCTTTTGCAAGGCAAGAGTGACAGCTGTCTCCCAGCCCAGGGCATGGGGGTCTGCAGCAGCGAGCCCCCCTCTCTACTAAGCAGGCAGTCCTCAAAGACATCTGCTCTTCCCTCTGAGCAAAGAAACTTCTGGGTTACAGACCCTCTGCTATTGCTCAGGGGAACGGGTCCAAGCTGTCCACACCACTGTATAGGACCTTAACTTCACACCCTATAGTCACCTCCTCCTGAGCTGGAATCCCAGGCAGAGTGCCCACCTTTGAGCCCATCCTGGGCACACCTGAGCTCTTCCTCTGTGGCACTGCAGCCCAGGAGCAAACATGAGCTGCTGAAAACATCAGGAGACAGGAGGAGGGAAGAAAGGGCTCTGAGGCTTGGTTATGAGACAAGAAGGTGGGGAATATGTCGGGAAGAAGAGGGGGGGAATCATTACTACTCACATCAGTTGCCTCTATCAGAAGTACAAAGCTGGTAGCATCATTTAGACAGAAGCTTGCAGGAAGGCTTGGAGCAGGTAAAGAAGCTGTCAGCAGCATCCCATCCGTGCCAGGCTGAGCTAACGAAGCCAGGCTGCTGTGGAGGTGTCCATGGAGGCAGGGAGCAGCAGGGAGCAGCGCTGGAACGGAACAGGTATAAAAAGCCCAATTAAGACATCATTGCAGCACCTCCCAGCTGAACCCTGGGGAGCAGGAGAGCTTCGTGCTGGAAGAGGTATTTTCCACCTGGGTGATGTTAAATTCAGCCCTGCAGACGTTGCTGCCCAGCTGATGCTGGGCACGTGTCTATATGAAATGGGGGGGGGGGTGGTGGTGTATAAGGAGCTGTGCCTGATGTCTGATGGCTGCGTGGGGGTAACCACCAACTGATGCCCTGTGGGTGGTGTTTATAGCAGGCTTCCCCAAAGAAAATACTAGAACAGCGTGTGGTTTATAGATAACTGAATACTGGGGGGACATGCTCAGAGTATTTGGGTGCTGGGGATGGACTCTTTATCAGGACTGTAGCGATAGTGATGGGTTTAAAGAGGGGAGACTGAGATGAGCTCTTAGGCAGAAGCTCTTCCCTGTGAGGGTGCTGAGGCGCTGTCACAGGGTGCCCAGAGAAGCTGTGGCTGCCCCATCCCTGGCAGTGCTCAAGGCCAGGTTGGACACAGGGGCTTGGAGCAAGCTGCTCCAGTGGAAGGGGTCCCTGCCTGTGGCAGGGGTTGGAGCTGGAGGAGCTTTAAGGTCCCTTCCAACCCAAACCAGTCCATGGTTCTGAGTTTTACTGCTGGGGGTGTCACTGAGAAGCAGAAGTACCTGGAGCCACTGCTGAAGGAGGAGAGGCGGTGACCGAGGGCCATTACAGTTTGTGCAGTTAATTTATTGTGGTTAACTCCCAAATTCCTGACCCACAGACAAGCTTTAGGGATTTCCACCTGAGGAGCAGGGGGAGTGAGGACACGTGGCTCCCACATCCCATTGAGTGACCGGGGAGCACCTATAAAGACAACCCCGGCTCCCTGGCCATGACGGGCACCCCAGGCGAGGGGAGCACAGCAGGGCCGGGTGCTGTTCATCCCCGTTAGCTCACAGGCGCCGCCATGCTGCAGCCCCCGGCCCCGTCATGGCAGCTGGCAGAGCCTTCTCAACGGGCCCTGAGGGGAATGGCTGCCCCTGAGGGCAGCAGAGTGCCACGTACCTTCACCTGTGCCAGCCCGGAGGGGACAGCCCTGGCCTGGCCGCTGCCTGAGCGCCTCAGGGCAGACAGGGTCCAGATGCCCATGCCAGGGTTGGCAGCGCGCTCGCTGAGGTGTTTCGCCGCCATTTTGAAGGCGCTGGCGATGAGGTGGCTCCGGGCACATCATGGCGGCCGGGGGGAAGCCCTTCTCCTCAGGCTGGGGGTCTGGGCACTGTTGGGGGCATCTCTCCTCCGTGGGGCGAGCGGCCATCATCCACCGGCGGGCTATGCTGTCTATGAGATCGTCCATCCGAGGAAGCTGGCCCCTAAGGCAGGGGCAGCCGCGGGGGCAGATGTGTCCTACGTGCTGAGGGTGGAGGGCAGGAACCGCATCGTCCGCCTCACCCGAAAGAGAGGGCTCCTGGTGAAAAACCTGCCCGTGGTCACCTACAGCCCGGGGGGGAGCAGGGTCACGGAGCAGCCCCACATCCCCCAGGAGTGCTTCTACCGGGGCTACGTGGAGGACAGCCCCGGCTCCGCCGCCACGCTCAGCGTCTGCTGGGGGCTGAGGGGGCAGCTGGAGATGGGGAACCGGAGCTACACCATTGAGCCTGTGCTGGGCTCCCTCAGCTTCCAGCACCTTCTCTATCGGCGAGAGGAGACCCAGAGCAAGCCCTTGATGTGCGGGGTGACGAACGAGGCGATGCGAATGCAGCTGCGGGAGATGGGACCTCAGGTAGCCTTGAGGAAGAACGTTTTGTGTCAGGGGCTGAAGCACACCGCCTACGTCGAGGTGTTTGTTGTGGTGGATTACTCCCTGTTTTCCTTCCAAGGGAGCAACGAGACCTCCGTGATGCTTCTGGTTATAGACACCATCAATTTAGCTGAAACCTACTTCTATAGCCTGAGGATCCATATCTGCCTGACTGGGATGGAGATCTGGACACACAGCAACTTCATCAGGCACAGCCCGGATATAGAAGACGTCCTCAGGAGTTTTAACCACTGGGCAAACGGGGATCTCTCTCAGCGGATGGCGTATGACATTGCCCACCTATTCACGTACATGGACTTCGGGCTCGTCGTTGGGCTGGCGTATGTCGGAACCATCTGCTTCCCGGGGTACCGCTCGAGTGTTGTCTCGCACATACGGAGAGACTTCACTGCCTTGTCGCTTATTTTCGCTCATGAGCTGGGTCACAACCTGGGCATGGAGCACGACAAGGAGAACTGCGCCTGCGGAGCAGCCCCCAGGTGCTACATGACGGGCCACTCGCTCACCGGTGCCAAGGGCTTCAGCAACTGCAGCACGCAGTACTACCTAGACCTCATGAACAGAGGCCACGGCCACTGCTTGTGCAACATCCCCGAGCCCCACAGCCTCTTCCACTTTAAACACTGCGGCAACAAGGTGGTGGATGAGGGAGAGCAGTGTGACTGCGGGGGGCTGAAGGGCTGCCAAGGCAACCCGTGCTGCCTCCCCAGCTGCAGGCTGAAGCTGGGGGCTGTCTGCTCCGTTGGGCAGTGCTGTCACAGATGCCGTTTCCACGCTGCAGGACACAAGTGCAGGGTGGAGGCGGATGAGTGTGACTTGCCTGAATATTGCAATGGGACTTCGGCCTGGTGCCCGGAGGATTTGTACGTGCACGATGGGACACCCTGCAGCAACAACGGCTACTGCTACCACGGCAAATGTGCCACTCATGATAACCTGTGCAGAAAAGTCTTTGGGAAGCAAGCTCGTGGTGCTCCAATGAGTTGCTTCCAAAAGCAGAACATGAGAGGGGATCGATTCGGCAACTGCGGTGGTGATGGCTCCAAAATTCCTTTTGTGGGATGTAAACCCCAAAATGTTCTGTGTGGAAGGCTGCAGTGTGTCAATGTGAAGAAGATACCCATTCTGCAGAGGTCTAAAACCATCATTCAGACACCAGGGCCAAACGACTGGTGCTGGGGCACAGCCTACCATGCCAGCATTGATATACCTGATGTCGGAGGAGGGACTGATGGCACCAGGTGTGGGCCAAAAAAGATCTGTATTAACAGGACATGCATAGATGCCACGGTCAAGATGAAGTGCGATGGGAAGGTTAAGTGTGGGGGGAAAGGGGTTTGCAACAACCTTGAACACTGCCATTGCGAAGCTGGCTGGGCTCCTCCGGACTGTCAGTTCCATGGCCTGGGAGGGAGCATGGACAGTGGCCCTCCACCAGCTCTCATGATGACCATGGGGGAGGTTGTCCAAACTAAAGTGTTTAAGACAGTAATGGGGATCACAGTTCCCCTAATGGTCATTGGGATTGCTGTTGGCATTGCTGTAACCAAATACAGAAAGGCAAAAGCTGCAATTGCAGAAGGAAGTGAGACTTCTGCAGATGAGGAGCAGGGTAGAGAAGAAGGAACAGAAGGAGGAGAAGGAAAAGGTGAAGGAGGAGGAGAAGGAAAAGAAGGTGAAGGAGAAGAAGGGGGAAAAGGAGATGGAGGAGAAGAAGGAGAAGAGGGAGGAGAAGAAGAAGAAGAAGGAGGAGGAGAAGAAGAAGAAGGAGGAGGAGAAGAAGAAGAAGGAGGAGGAGAAGAAAGTATGTTTAAAAACCCGTGAAAGCAGTGGGAATCCCACCAGCTGAGGTCTGGAAAGGACTACAGGCCCTGTGTGTGTGCCCCTGCAGCTGGACTGCTAGTCCTAGGAGATTTTCCACAAAGTGATTTACACAACGTACCTGTGTAAACTGTACAAAAGCTAATTACACCAGACGTCAGTATTTCCTCTTCTTGTATTGCCTACTATGTAAATAAATTAGGGTTGGGCCCCAAAAGTGAAGCTGTTAGAAAATAAAGAGTGTAAAAGTTAAGAGAATTGTTTTCAATGCAGCTAAAGATCTGTTTTATTTGCCATAGAGTGGTGGAACCTTAGTAAATAATTCACTTGAGCAGTTAGAAGAGTATAGATAGACTCATGCAAAGTCCTTCTCACCTGGTTCCTAAGAGATGCTCCACCATAGGCTTATTTTGCTGAGTACTGGAGCTGAGCAGGAGTTGCATGAGAACAGCAGGGAAATGTGCAAGAAGTCAAGGCACAGAAGTGAGCACTCGTTTTTTTATGCTACCTTGCAATTCTTCATTCCCTGCAGTTGGCTATCAGCATGGTACATGTTCTTATATAGTGGATTAGAAGTCAGAGATTGAAAATACTCACTTTTGCTTTACTGTTAATTTGTAATGGCAAAGACTCAGAGAAGTGCAACATCCTTTGACCACCTCCCCTCAGAGTAGCTGTACCAGATCTCTGAGCTGTTACAT